TATAAAACAAAATTTTATTTTATAATATTAAATAAATTTCTTTTTGATAAAAAAACTTTATTTGCAATTAATACCTTGTATATTTTGCCACTTGTATGAAATCAAAGTTTTTTATACTAATAATATTCCTTTTTTTATTGTTTCTATGGGTTTTTTATTTTTAATTTTGTTTATACGGGGTTAAATTGATAAAATGACATGTTTCAGATGAAAGAAGTCCAGGCAATACTTTATTATCAAATGACATACATAATTCAAGATCATGCCATAAAATTACCATTAATAATTGCGGGGTTTCTCTCCTTTTAGGAGATTTTGCTTCTATGTCCTTGGATTTGTATCTATTCTATTATTTTAATCTCTGGAAATTTTTTGGATTTTGATTTCTTAACATTTTACAAAAACAAATATTTTCATTCTTTGTCAATCTATTTAAAGTTTATTCATTTTAGTTTTTACCAAAAATTTATATTAAAATAAATTTCTCTGCTTTCATAATTTTAATTTAATTTAAGTAATAAGGTTTTGAAAATTATGCTTAAAAACTAAAATTAAATTTTTTTAATTTCATTTTTCTAATGATTGTTTGAAAAATACTAATTAGATTCGGTATCCTAAAAATTTATTTGAATTATTTGCTTTGAGTTAAATTTATTCATAAATAAGATGAGTCGAGTCAAGCCCAATAAACCATTCAAAAGTTTTGTCCACGACTTGATTTAGTTTAAGCCATTGGGCCAATGAGGTCCGAATGTGAATGTTTTTAAACAAAATTTTTAAAATATTTAAATGTGAAAATAAGCAAATATTATTATTTTATTTTAAAAATAAAATTAAATAAAAATAAAAATTATTAATAAAACCCGAGATCCAAAACTTATGCCCAAAGCCCTACTCAAGTTGGGCCAGACTCACATGCCGAGCAAATAACTCGACTCATGGAGCCTACGGATAGATTTAATTGTTTTGTAAATTGTATAAAATTAACTACTACATTTGTTGTACTGCTTAAATGAATACGAATTGTATAATGATAATTATTCGATTTGGGTCCTCTCAAACGTTCTCTCACAAAGAAATAAAGTTTTATGAATTTTGAAAGGAGTATAAATCTTTGAAAAACAAATGAAGTTGGAATGATGTGGTAAAATATTATTAATAATTAATTTTATATTTAAAAGTTTAGCATAATAATCTACTACACCAGTAAACATTTTTCTTAACAATGATTACAACAATTAGGATTATAGTTAACGTATCTTTATCTTTAACTTCTGGTTCATTTGGATGGGTAATAAGTTGGTTCCGATGAAATTATAAACAATGATAAAAATAAGATTAATTATTATAATGATAAGATTATAGTAAAACTATAGTAAAAAAGATTATAGTAAAAAAAAGATTAATTATTATAATGATAAGATTAAAATATAAAAATAATAATATTAGTGAGGTGAATTATAGTAAAAATAGAAAATGATTATTAAAGATATTAAATTAAAATTTATATATATTAAAAATAATAACTTATTTAATATTTATAAAATTAACAAATAATTTAAAATTTATTAAATTATTCTATACCAAATAATAATTTTATTAATAAATAATTAAATTCATAATTTGATGATGTAAAAAAATAATTTTTTTGAAAAATTTTAAGTAAAAAAATTAAAGTAAAACAAAATGAAAAAAGAAAGACTAGTGTTGAAAAAATTAATAAAGTATTGAAAAAAATTAGTAGGACGAGAGGATGGTAATGAAGAATTGTTGCAGTTAAAACTTGCGTCTCTTCGCTAAAGCTATGAAGGTCTAGGTTCTAACTGAAGCTCCAGCACTATTAAAATCTTTTCGTCACAATAATATTTGTTATCCAAACACACGTATGATGCGATCATGCCTCATTAAAGTAGTATTTGATATAAGTTGATTATTTTAAAAGTTATAATAATTTATTCATGAAAATTATTACATCACTATTTTAGAGGATAATTTAATTTTTATCCAAAAATATAAAAAATTTTATATATTATCAATGTATAAAATCTATACAATAAATTGAATGATATAATTTCATTAATAAAATAAATCAAATGATGACACTTTATTAATAAATAAATTTTAAAAAATATTAATTTTTGTATATTTATTTTAAAAGTTGATATTTGATCATTAATAAAATAATATCATCTGATTTATTGATAGTATATAAAAATTTTTACAATGATAATATATCAAATATAATCTCTAATATAAATCAATCATATCTTTAAAGTAAAGGTTCATTTAAATATAAATAAGAAGATAATGATTTATTTACGTAAATTAAAATTATAAAAATTTGTTTAAAAAATAAAATAATTTAACCTTTATTTTAATTTTAATTTTTTTGTGTTTGTAGCAAGTAGATGAGACTAGAGGTGACGGATTCTGTTGCTAAAAAATCTCTAGCCATAATGTTGCTAAAAAAATGAAAATAAATTTCGAGTATCGTGTTACACATTTTATATATTAGGTATCAAACTGAATATTTGCCAAAATTTGGATACCAAACACATTTAATATGTAGGTATGAAACAGAACATTTGCCAAAATTTAGATAACAAATACGTAATTAATTCTACTTCAAGTGAAAACCCATCATCCAAGGAAGACCGTACTCGAGATACAAGATAGCTTTGCGTGCAATCCAGGATTTAGGTTGAAAGAAATAATTGGGAGATAAATTCCAAGAAATGGGTTGCTATCAAACCTCTTAAAAAGGGTAAAGACCATTCAATCAAGCTTTGAAGTTTTATTTTGTTTATTTTTTTTCCTAAGCCAAAACATGGATTTTATTCATGGATTATACATGCAGCTATAACAGAACTGCACGCAAGAAGAAACAAGGCTCCACAAAGATTAGGATCACATACACTACAGCAAGGATATTAAAACGTCTAAACCCAAGCATAAATACATGAAAACTACAACAAATAGCCCTTTGCATCGTGCATGATAACAAATATATATAGTAAAAACAAACAGTAAAATAAGTATGAACCAAACCAAGCAAAATGATATTTGTAATGAATTCAGGTTTTCGCATGTAAATTGTAGACATCACATTTGGTATGGGCCGAATCAAATGGGTCTAAATCTATTTAAGCCCAATTACTCATTTTATTTTTAAGTTTTATATTTTTATATTTATTTATTTTAGGTTTTATCTTTTTATATATATCTAGCGTTGATTATTCATTTATTTATTTGTTATTAATTTTTTATTTATCATTTATTTCTATTGATTTATCTTTAGTTTTATTGATTTATTTATCATTTATTTTTATTGATTTATCTATACAGTGAATTAAATGATACAATTTTATTGATGAAATGAATCAAATTATAACACTTCATTAATAAATAAGTTTTTAAAAAATATTAAATTTTGTATATTTATTTTAAAAGTTAATATTTGATCATTAATGAAATAATATCATCTGATTTATTGACAGTATATCAAATATATCTAGGTGCTTATTTTTTTCTTTACAAAAGCATTTTAAGGTATTATAATTACCAACAACACATCATCATCTCTATATTCAACTACTATTATTTTTTTATTATAATTATAATTAAGTAAATAATTTTTTTGAAATTTTTTTATTTTAAAAATTTTCATATGGTAAATAAAAAAACGTCACATATTAATATATTAATCATTAAAAATATTTCAAAAATTTTTAAAATAATAAAAAATAACACATAGCAAGGAATAGATTTACCGCATATCAATATATTATATTTTAGGGATAGATTTTTTAGATAGGATATAGATTTGAATTCTAAAGCAAAATTATTGGAAAATCATGATATAATACTAATAGGGAGTAGGCCCGTAGGTGGGTATCATAAGTTTCAGGCGTTTGGAATTATTGGAACAATTATTTTTTCTTGGGGGCCTTTTGCACGAAGAATGGCAAATCGTACAGAACCCGCATCTCCAAGTTGTCGCATGTGCATATACTATCCCTTAGGGTTAGCTTTTACATATAGGATATAGATTATGCAAGAGAGGCTAAGGATCGCTGGAGATTTTAGAGGAAAGGAACCAGAGAGAGGTAGGGACAGATTGTTTGATTGTTTGATTCCTGTTTTTCTTCATATAACACAGAAAATGATGATAAACTATATATACATATATATGATTTTGTTAATAGTTCGATTACAGTCAATTCTTCTTAATTAATGGCACAAATATTAATATTAGGGACAAAGCTTGATTCCTGTCCATTCTTCTTTAGAAAGACAGATACTTTGATCAGATAAACTATAACATTATCTTCTTATTTTTTAGAAATTATATAAACTAAATTATTTAATTAAATTAGTTATGAAAAAATATCTTATAAAGAAAAAGTCAATTTTAAAAAAATCATCCAAAATCAATAATAGCGACACACAATATTTTATAAAATAAATTCATATTTAATTAGATTTAGATGATTTTCATCAAATCCAAAATTATGAAAAAAAATATTTTGAACTTTCATTCTAATCAAAGAGATAGTGTTTGAAAAGTTTATTGCACACTAAAAAACCTATAAAAAATAATTATAATGTGTTATCTTTATGTATAAACAAAATAATCTATTATGCATTTGAGTTAATTTATTTTTATATATTTTTATATTTAATATTATTTATATTAAATGCCCCCACTAAACTAAATCCTAGATCTATCCCTGTCCTGAGTTATATTTTATATTTCAATATTATATAAGAGAAAATGTAGATTTTTTTTATTAAGAGAAGAAGAATTTGAAGGTTCGAATTATCTAATTTCTTTAATTGGAGAAAATATGTATCTGCTATTAAATAAAATGTTTGAGTGCATATTTAATTTTCTAAGATGCTATATTTCATGTGAAACTTAAAGAACATGTCCCTAGCTAGTTGAATACGTCCTTTTGACTATAAGTTTAATTTGTTAGAAATATTAATTAATGGGCAAATTCATTGACGCCATCCCTTATATAATATAGTCTACATGTAGTATATTTCATAGCAAAGCTGATTCATTGCAAAATAGTAACACCTTGGCTAAGATTAAGATATGGATGTGGCCAATGTCAATGGGGAGCACGTTAATGAGCTACTTCAAGCTCAAGCTCACGTATGGAATCACATCTTCAACTTTATAAACTCCATGTCTCTAAAATGTGCAATTGATTTAGGTATTCCAGATATCATCCAAAACCATGGGAAGCCCATGACAGTTACAGACCTGGTGGCTGCACTGCCGATCAATGCCACCAAAGCGTGCAGCATCTACCGGCTTATGCGCATTTTAGTTCACTCTGGCTTCTTTGCACAACAAAAGCTAGGCGAAGATCCCCAAGAAGAAGGGTATGTTCTTACTAATGCTTCTCGACTCCTGCTCAAGGGTGATCCCTTGAGTGTAAGACCTTTTTTGAAAGCTCTACTGGATCCTATTTTAATAAAGCCTTGGCATTTTCTTGGCACCTGGTTCCAAAATGATGATCCTACCCCATTTGTTACCGCACATGGGAGGTCGTTTTGGGACTATGGTGCACATGTCGACCCAAACTTTGGCCATTCTTTTAATGAAGCCATGGCTAGTGATGCTCGATTGGTTACTAACGTTCTGACTCACAAGTGTAAGGAGGCGTTTAAGGGATTGAATTCTCTGGTGGATATGGGGGGCGGCACCGGAATCGTGGCCAAGGGCATTGCTGATGCATTTCCACAGTTGGAATGCACTGTGTTTGATCTTCCACATGTTGTTGCTGGGCTGCAAGGCAGTGGGAACTTGAAATATGTTGGAGGAGACATGTTTGATGCAGTTCCAGCTGCAGACGCAGTTTTACTAAAGGTATTTTATTTTTTCTTGGACCTTACTATATGACGGGCAATTTCAGGCCAAAAATTTGAAAGACTCAACTTGCTGACTTGCACAGTCGGTTGTTGGGCTTGTTTCTCTGGTCTTGCCTTATTTTCGGCTTATGGATTATGAGTTTTTAGCCTTTTATTCGAGCTGTAGACTATAATTAGAGTAAAAAATTGCCTTACTTGAATTCGTCCAAATAAACCCTTTCATTTTTTAAATTAATACCAGGTGATATCTCCCAAATTTAATCCCATTTAAAACCTGTTTGTACAAATATCTATCAAAGGGAATATATTGACACAAAAGTGAAATAGAGGAATTTGCAAATTAACTATACATAAAATCAGCTCAAAATTCAAATCGAAATAAACTATCTCTTGATGACTTTATTATTTATAACAAAACAGTGGATATTGCACGACTGGAATGACGAAGAATGTGTGACGATTTTGAAACGATGTAAAGAGGCAATTTCAAACCGCGACAAGGTGGGAGGGAAGGTGATTATAATAGAAATGATATTGATGGATCAGAAGCAGAAAGTGAATGATCAGGAATCGATTGAAACACAATTCTTCTTCGACATGGAGATGATGGTCGCGACCACTGGAAGAGAGAGGAACCATGAAGAATGGGCTAAGCTGTTTTTTGCTGCTGGTTTTACTGACTATAAAATTACTCATAAACTTGGTTTAAGATCTCTCATTGAGGTTTACCCCTAAGAGATCCTTGCTTTATTAATGAAATAATTGTAATAATTTTAATGAACCTTCATCTTATTGTAACTATTGTTGCTTTGTACTTGTCTCTCCTAATCTATTGTGTTAATATTATATATGAAATAAAACAGCACTTCACTTTAATCAAGTTAAATTATCGTTGGAATCATTGATGTTGCTAATTACTACTAGCATGCACTTTCAATTTATTCTTATTATATAAAATGGCTCCACCAATTGGGTTTCTTGTCAAATAGAGAACATATTTTAACTGAGCTTCAATTAATAAAAATATACTTCTTTATTTTAATTAATTGAAGTTCGTTTAAAATATTTGATACATAATTAGTGTATAAATTTTATACATTATCAATGAATCAATCAGATAATATCATTTAATTAATGAGTAAATATCAACAATTAAAATATATATAATTTAATTTAAATAAATTTTATTAATGAGATGATATTATCTGATTTATTTTATTAATGAGAAGATATTATTTAATTTACTGATAATACAGCAAATAAAAGCTCTTAATTTAATGAAAAAGAATTTGGAAAATGGCAGGATTGTTGAATAAGCAGTGTCAAACTTAAAGGGGAGATGGATAATGCTGTTGCGGAGTGTGAGATGGAGAACCAGGTTAAGCCCAATTGTGTGGAAGAAGCTGTTGTGGACGAGTCCAATAGTGAGTTGAGGCAGAAAAAGAACGCTGACATGGGCCTAATACCGTTTTTTTAATAGACTGCTAAATGGATCACAATTAAAGAACGTTGGTCTGAGGAGGCCTTGGCTATTATGCCTAATTTTAACAACCTTATAGATTGTGAGCATAATAATATAGGGCGTTCATCAATCTGGCAGGAAAGCTAGAAAAGCCAAAAGTCTTGTTGAGATTGAGGCGTTTAATTGTGAAGCTACTTGGGAAAGAAGAAGAAAGGGGGAGAAATTAAGTAGAAAGCTGAGGGATCTAAAACACAAATCCAAGGACATCATTGTTAACGATTCAATTTAAATAGGAGGGAGTTACGTATGGAAGACGCCGAAGTAACGTGGAGAATAGGAAAAATGTTAGGGATGAATGGTAGTTGTAAGGACGAGGTTGTAATTTGCAAATTGAGGGAGTTAAGGCAATCACTGCAAGAAATTTGACATATAATAACGTTAAAAAAAATGTCAGTAAAACCTCAAAATCCATTAGTATAATACTATAAACCTTATATCAACAGTCAAAATATGTATTTTGATGAATTTTTAACCGTCATATATCTCTTGTTGGTATGAACCTATATTAATGGTTTTTAAGGTGTCAGAATCGCTCGTAGAGATATACTTACTATTCAAAACCATCAGTAAAAGTATATTTATTGGTATAGCATATGTTGTATGTTCTACTGTTATACCTATTACCGATGGTTAACACATTTCAGTGTAGACTTGTATGTTTTAATTTTTCTTACCTATATCGACGGTTAATGCCCGTCAGCATAGCCTTTACCTATACTGATGCTGAAAGGCCATCAGTATCAATAAAAAATGTTTTAATTTTCTCACATATACTGATGGCTAGCGCCTGTCAGTATAGACTTATATGTTTTAATTTTTCTTACCTATACCGATGGTTAACATTTGTCAGTATAGAATTTTAATTTTTTTTACCTATACGAACGTTTAGCATCTATCAGTATAGACTTGTATTTTTTAATTTTCTTACTTATACCGATAGTTACAAACTGTCAGTATAAAATTGTATGCTTTAATGGATATATCTATACCGACGATTAGAGATTGTTAGTATAGACTTATATGTTTTAATTTTTTATTATATTTTGGTGACTGTTAGTATTGCCTAAAATATTTCAATGATCAAGTACATCAGTATAAATGTTAAAACGTTGGTAAAATTTTTTAAAAATTATATTTTTAATTATTAATATTAATTTATTTATAATCATAATATGATATGTTTTCATATAAACAAAAAATAATAATAAAGTAAAAGATATTTAATAACATTAAAACTACAAGTAAATTATTTATAATCCACAAACTTAGTATAAGTGAAAAACTAAAATCATTGTACCAAGTCTGATAAAACAAACATCGATAAAACAAATATAGATAAAGAGTTACACCACCTCACCTTAAAAAACACAATCATAAGTTTGCACCACCAGACACCTAAAGACCTTTTGATCACTTTAAAACTTCAATAATACTTTGAACAAGATAATCTTAAAAAATCTGTGAACAAACAAACAATTGCAAAACCACCTCAATAAGAAAAAACATACATGCACCTATTACAAGCCTTTTCCAAAACCAAAATATTTTCATTCATACAATATATCACAAGTCTTGAAAAAGTCAACAAGTGTAGCTACATCATATAACTAACAAGTTCAATGAACCCAGCTCACTAACAGTATTCAATATACCAATCAAGCATCACCAAACACAACAGCCTTATTTTAACAAAGTGCATAACATCCAAAACAAAATCACATCCTCCTACAAACATAATGCTCTGAGTAAATAAACAACTTCCTAAAATAAATGATCCCATCATAGATTTCTACAAATAAGCATCTGCATAGCATAAAAAAATCCAAGTAGAATTCTTGTAAATTATCTTATATATACAGAAGGTAAGAAGGTAATCATCCATTCATATACCAACAGAAATAATTTTATAAACATCTTATTCATTCATATATACAAAAGGTAATCATCCGTTTATATGCCTACAAAAATAATATTATAAACATCCTATTCATTAGTGTAATGCATGAATGAACAATAAATAACCTAATTTGCATATGTAATCTCCTCATTCTTTTAGTTTAATTCCAAATAATAACTTAATGAAACTAACATAAGATTATTTTAATCAACAGAACTATCATTAAACAAATATTTTCACTATAACATTCAAGTTTACAACTACAAAGTATGCTTACATCATAAGAAAGATTTTTCAAAGGAAAACTAAAAAAAAGGCAAGAAAGCCTTCTCAAAGGAAATAGAGCAGGCTTTAAATCATATTGTAATTTAATAATTATGGGAAAGACAATGGGTAATGTTTCAAGAACATAATTACATTATTCAAAACCTAAATTCAAAATTGATTTTGGCATTCTATCTAAGAAACAAGTATTAAGCAAAGAATTTTCACATATATATCATGTGATGACAAGTTTACCATTTTCTTTTTCATTAGGTTTATGACTTGAATTTGAAGAATGATAGTTTTCACGTGCGATTTTTAGAGCAATACTAGCATCAGGAACCTAAAAATAATTCAAAAATTTTTTTAATAAAGTTCAAGATTCATGAGCAATATGATAATTTACATATATATAAACTAAAATAGATGTTATATATACCTCTTTATTCACCATGTGAGTAACAGTAATCAAGATATCTATATTCTTATTAGAAAATTATCTTTTAAATACTGATAAGACAGTACTTAAAGTTTCTTTCAAGTCTTTAATTTTAGCCTTCAACTATTATACCTCTTTCTTATGCTGATCCAATTCAAAAAATAAAGGACTATATTGTTTAGATGAAGTAGATACTATACATATGCAACGACCATGCCCTTTTCTCTCTGGTCTTTTAACTTTTGAATAAACATCATATTTCCATAAACTCCCTTCAAGATTTTGAGCACTAGTTTCACTCAAACCTTATTTCATGAGTTCCTAAACTTGTAAACAAATATTTTAGTATAAAAAAATAAAGCATAAGTAAGCAAGTAAAAACTAAATTAAATACCACAATTTCAGCTACCTTGTCATTTACAACATTTTCATCTTTACGTGTACGAGAAAGAATATACATTTCAGCATGTGATGGCAAAATTTTATTAGCTTCTTCTTTCTATAAAGGTACAACATTAATTATTGTAATGACAAAATCACACATATGAAAAGCAAACTTCATATTCATTTAACTGAGTGCAACAAAGAAAATTGATATATATACCAAGGTTTGAATGATCTTCGAGAATGATTTTGTTCCTATGCAATGAGGCTCATTTAATTTTGAGTGGTTTGTTTTGTTTGTCTCACTTTGATCCTTTACACAAATGAATAAGATAAGATATATTATAATAACTTTGTAATTATTATCATAGTGTTAAAACAAAGTAAATAGTATCTTTTATAAACATTTACCTTCACTTTACTAGTCAACTAATGTGTAGCAAAAAACAGGAATTGACTTTTGTCTACTCGAGAATCATCAACCTTTGCAGCCATTTCTTCTGGTGTCTTTTGTTCATCATACAATTTAGACTTTAATTCATTTTTTCATTGCCTCCACTTAGCACCCATGTTTCTTAGTGCCCAAGACTTATTTTTTTTATATATTTCTTCATCAACAAGCTCATTAGAATCTAAATTTGTGAAATTCAAACTTTGACTACAATTTGAAAGAGGTAATTGGAAAAAAATGTCAATATATATTATATGAATTGCTACTATTAACTAAAAACTAAAAGATTATTGTCATGGCATTAGCTAGCAAATAAAACATTATCGTATTAATACCTTCTAATGTTTTTCACATTTCTTCTTTCTTATCGTCCAACATTTCATGCCAATTTGTATAATTAATTGGTGCAAAGTTATGCATTCTCACCATGCTACCAATGAATCGAGTTAAAGAGCAAGATTCATCACCAATAGGTATACAATCATCATTGACCTTAACAACAACATGTGCCCTTTCTTCAAATCCCAAATATTAGCCATACGTGTAGGACCTCGAGCATTTTTATGTTGAACATTTCCTACATAGAAAAATTACATGTAAAGAAAGTAATTAAATTTATTAAAAATTGTATTTGTACAACATTATAACACATAAAGAATTGTACTAACAAAATATAGTGTTTTTATACCTAAATTATGTTCAACTTGTTCATCTTGATCTTTATTATTTGTAGATTGAGAAATTGGTTCTTGAGATTCTTGTAAAGGCTCATGTTGTAAAATTTCTAGATTTATAGTCACATGTTGTTCTTCAAATTGTGTTTGCAATTGAAAACTAGAGGCACGATTTGCCCTAGTGATATTCAATCATCTACACTTTGCCATCTCAAGTCTAATAATACACAATATATTAGTGAACTATGTCTTACATTGCA